TTACAACCTTGGAAACCCTATTTTTGTCATTTTTTCCAGTATTATTATGAACAGCCATTTCAGCTGGCGGTTGTTGTTGCTACTAAATGCCATCGAGTCGGTTCTGACCCATACGGCCCTATATAGGGTTTCCGAGGAGCAGCTGGTGAGCTTGAACCTTGTAGTTCAAACCGACCTTGCAGTCCAGCGCATTAACCCACAGTGCCACACTAGGCTAGGATTTGGTTATTTTGGGGTTCCCAGTTTATTGGAGACAAAGCCAATTACCTTGTCTCAGCTCACAAGCTTGTAGTGAGACTATATTGCATGCTGCTATAGACCAAAGCCCACTTCCCTCCTATGGGGAGGACTAGAGTGATATTCAGAATAGGAACCAACTTGACCTGGAGGGCACTTAACAACAACAGCAACAACACAGGTGCCCCCAGAGAACGTCCATAGATTTCTAAGCCCCTAGGAATCCCATGGTGTGCCCCTTGAGCCTCAGCTGCTAAATTGGAGGGGGATTGTCTGTTGACTAGGTCAGCCTTCAAGAGACCCTGTTGGGTCAAGGTACAAGTCCTTTCCCAATGTTGTTGTTGTTAGGTGCCATTGAGTCGGTACCGACCCATAGTGACCTTATGCACAACAGAATGAAACACTGCCCAATCCTGGGCCAACCTCACTACTGTTGCCACGCTTGAGTCCATCAATGCTGCCACTTGGCCAATCCATCTCGCTGGGGGTCTTCCTCTTTTTCTCTGACCCTCCACCTTACCTAAGATGAGATCCTCCTCCAATGACTAGTCCCTCCTGACAATATGTCCAAAGTATGAGAGACGAAGTTTGGCCATCTTGGTCTCCAAGGAGCATTCTGGTTGCACTTCTTCCCAAATGGATCTATTGGTTCTTTTGGCAGCCCATGGCACTTTCAATATTCTCCTCCAACACCATAACTCAAAAGCATCAATTCTTCTATGGCCTTCCTTATTCACTGTCCAGCTTTCGCATGCATATGAGGTAACTGAAAATACCATGGCTTGGGTCAGGTGCACCTTAGTCCTCAAGCTGACATCTTTGCTCTTCAACACTTTAAAAAGGTCTTGTGCACCAGATTTGCCTAATGCAATATGTCCTTTGATTTCTTGACTGCTGTTTCAGTGAGTGTTGATAGTTGATCCAAGAAGAATGAAGTTCAGTTCGTTACTCTTTCTTCCTAGTCTGTCTTTGTCTGGAAGTTCATCTGAAACCTGTCCACCATGGGTGGTCCTGCTAGTATTTAAAATACCAGTGGCGATGCTTTCAGGATCACAGCAACTCACAAGCCAACACAGTATGACAAACTGACAGATGAGTGGTGATTCCTATTGTTGGGTCCCAGCATTATTTAAGTCTTTCTGACCCAATTCAATATTGCTGTTGTTATTAAGTGCCATTGAGTTGGTTCTGACTCATAGCAACCCTGTATAGGGTTTCCAAGGAGCAGCTGGTGGGCTTGAATCACAGAATGCAGTTAACAGTCCAATGCTTATCCTCTGAAGCCTGTCTCTCCAGGTTGATTCCCTTGGCTTCCTCCTGGAAAATAATAATAAATACCATTAAGTGCTGTCAAGTTGGTTCTGACTCATAGTGTGAGAAATAAATTCTCAAGATGGCCCGTCTTCAGGAATAAGAGGGTCCAGGACAATTGCCATAGCAGGCATAGATTGTGGATTAACACAGCAACAGTGACCTATGCATCTGGGGTACGTGAGCGGGATGAATTGGGGGAGGCGGAAAGAACTGTTCAACCACTAGGAATTTTAAATGAGAATGTTACCATCCAGGGAAGGCACTGCAATATCTGCGGAAAGATTGTTAACTCCATAGTACTCAGTCAGTGAGGAATCCGGGAGGGACTTTCTCCAGCCAGGAAAACAAATGCTTTGCAAAATGGCCACGCAGCATGTCTGCCCATGTCTTCTGGGTTTGGCACCTAATTTTGCAGTATCGAATTTAAAAACCTCACTTTCACTAAAATGAGTACAGATTGGGTTTCTTGAGCATTTGTTGGTAAGCACTCATGATAAACTCATAGCTGACCTCATAACCAAGAGGTACCGAGGCAGTATTTGGGGTAGTGACAATGTTTCTCACAATAGCAACCCTCTATGGGGTTTCCTAGGAGCAGCTGGTGGGGTTGAACCACTGACTTTGCAGTTACCAGTCTGGTGCTTATTCTAGCATTACACCAGGACTCTCTCTGGTTATCGTAGTCTATAAATCATTGTCTTTTGAATGCTGCTTCTCATTAAAAGCTAATTCAGCTCATTCTATGAAACACAGACCAGACCTTATCTCCCTTAAAGTCCTCTACACGTTATTGCCAGGCGTGCTATGACCCACATGAAGTTAGGGTACATGCTTTGTGCCCCCAAATGTTGAGTCACTATATGAGGTTAAATATGTAATAATTACATGTAGATGTTTGAGTATATCTTACAATCTCTCAAAGCTTTGCTAACCTCAGTGCAGGACTATGAGATATGCAGGTTATGAGGTAAAGAGAACAAACAAGTCGGAACACGTTTCTCTCATTTCGGAGATTACCCTTTTTGTTGAAGAAGAATTTCATCACTCTGACACTTCACATTGGGAGTGTCACTCGAGTCACGTGACAAATGATGGCAATATGGTTAAAAGCAGTCTGGTTTTTTTTTCAGTGACCTTCTTAAATGCTTTATGAAAATTTAGTAGGATGAAAGCATGGCAGATTAAATGGGAAAATACCAACTCCTTTATCTTATCTTTATCTATCCTGTTATTTTGAGAAGCTGTCGATCCCACCTCATAGTGACTCCATGTGAGAGAGCAGAACCACCCACAGGTTTCTAGGGCAGTCATGCTGGGCACACTGCCGGCGGCTCTCAGGTCTGTGAGACCACTGGGTGGGTTCAAACTACCAACCCTGCTGTTAGCAGCCAAGTGCGGAACCATTGCTGCACCAGAGCTCCTCTCTGGTAAGCGCGGTGGAGTCGTTGACGACCCATAGTGACCCCGTATCAGGTTTCCAAGGCGTGACTGGTGAGCTTGAACTGCCGACCCTGCTGTTAGAAGCGACTTTGCAGTCCCGCCCATTAACCCACAGTGCCACACCAGAACTCTCTCATACACACTCGCGTTCATTTTATAGTTGTTCATGCTTGCCATTTTCTTAGCTCCAACTCATCCTGACCCCAGTCCAACAGAACGAGGTGGTGTCTGGTCTTGCACCATCTTGATGCTGGCTGTTACACCTGAGGCCATTGTTGCAGTAACTGTGAATTGTGAGTGTTTTTCAACCGATTGAGGCTTAGCTTCCAGGAGTATAGTGGACACCACTGTGTTGTGATCCATTGGCTCATTTGTGGCAGAAGATCATTAAGCCTTTCTTCTATCTGTTTTAATCTGTATGCTCAGCTGCATTCTGCCCACCACACCTGACTCGACTGGTATTTTAAATACTGGTGGCATAACGTCAAGAACCACAACAACATGCAAGTCGCCACAACAGGACAAACGTACAGATGGTTGTTGGCCATTGTATAGGTTAGTCGGACATTATTTTGGCTGCAAGCTTTGTTGTTGTTGTTAGGTGCCTTCGAGTTGGCACTAACTCATAGTGACCCTATGCACAACAGAAGGAAACACTGGCCAATGTCACAACTGTTGCCACGCTCGAGCCCATTGATGCTACCACTTTGCAAGCTTTAGGAATAGTAATAATAGTCCGTGGTTACTGAGGGCTTGTTAACTGCTTCAAATTCCTCATCTCCCTTCATCCATAAGACACCTCTCTGAGGGAAGTCCAGTAATCATCATCCTCCACTTCAGATAAGAAAACTGAGCCCAGAGAAGATCAATTGTCTCAAGTCTCACAGCATGAAAATAGCTGAATTTAGGTTAAAAACCCAGGGCTACATGCTCCAAGGCCTATTAATATCCCATTGGGTTATGCTGCCTTCCATCCTGTTAAATTCTGATAGCTAGTTGGCTTTCTGCTCCTGTAAAAGATTTACAGCCTCGGAAACCCTGTACAGGGTCGCTATGAGTCGGAACCGACTCCACGGCACATAACCACCACCACCACCACCACTTGGTTTAGAGGGTCCTGGATAATCTAATCATGATTCATTCATCTCAAATCACTTTCATAAGAACCTTCTGTGTGCCAAGTAATGCTCTATGTCCTCTAGCAACCTTAGGAAACAGTCTAGTCCATGATCTTAGGGTCTTACATTCTAGTGGGGGAAGCAGACAAGAAGTAAAAATTCACTGTCACCTGGAGAAAGTGTTGAGAAAACAGTAAAGAGAAGCTGCTTCCAGGCACAGGCTGCCTGCAGGAATTGTCACATAGGACGATTAGGATCCCTTCTTCCTGATTAGCTTTGTACCCATCATTTCCTCTAGCTGATTAGTGAGGAAATGCTACAGGAGAAAAATATCCTGGCAGGAGTAAAGGGATTGATGATGGAAACAGGAACAATGATGAACCGCTCAGTACAATGGAGTAGACAAGATGGAAAGCTTATCCCAGCGCATCATTTAACTAACAAATATCTTAATTCGTAGCTCTGTCACTTTGTGGCAAGAAGAGCTGTAATACATCCCTCCACATTAGTTTGTTGGTGTTAAGTACCGCCCAGTCAGTTCATAGCGACCCTATACGGGTCTTCAAGGAGCGGTTGGGGGCTTTTAGCCGCCAACCTTGCAGCTAGCAAGCAGTTCAGTGCTGATCCTACAGCGCCACTCTAGTGGTTTAAAATCAGCAGTATCCCATTTCTGGTATGGCGCTGTGGAATGAGCACTGGACTGCTAACCACAAAGTTAGCGGTTCAAATCCAGCCGCTTCTTGCAAACCCTATCTGTATAGGTCACTATGAGTCAGAACTGACTTGACGGCACTTAACAACATCCCTCGTTCAGTACTTCCCATAGAAACCGGCTGCCGTGAGTTTCCCCACGCTGGGAGCCGACGGCAATCTGCGACTGCTACCCCCAAGCGTCTAGTGCGAAACGTAGCCCCGGTTCACGTCCTGGCCCTGCGTGCCCGCCACACAGCGTCCGGCTCCGCCCCATGCAGGTTCAGGCTCCACCTCTGGACCCTTGACTCCCTTCTCTCACGCGACTATTCTTCCCGTCCCGACTTCACCCCACGTGACGTCTGCCACACGCCGTCAGGAACGCTCGGCGCCCTGGACCACGCAAGGTCCCGCCCACCTGTAGCTCCGCCCCAGTCCTCGCGGCGCTCCCCCAAGTTCCATCCGCGCCTGCTCACCCGAAACCCCACCCCCCACGGTAACCCCGCCCCCGAGTGCTGACGTGCTTTTCCTTCGACGCTGTTGTCCCGGCTTAGGACCCGATGCCCGACAATTATGTGGGGGCTGGTCCGGGGGCTCTGGGGTCCCCACGCGGGGTTCGGGCCGCTGCTGGGCGGCTGTAGCACGGGGCGCAGCCTCCTTCCGGGCCGCCCCCGAGGCCTGCACGGCTCCCCGGTCTCCCGCGGCAGCAAGAACCTGCTCAAGAAATTTGCCTCGAAAACCAAGTAAATGTGTCCACGGGAAAGTTAAGGAAATGGGGGAGCGGGGCTTGAAGGGGCGATGTTAAGCGGCGTGGAATGGGGACGTATGGTTGCCACTTGGTGCCATGGATTAGCCATCCCCTCCTTATTACTGAAAATAGTTATTACATACCTTTCAGTCTAGCCAGACTTGAGAACCAATTCGAATGTCTTAATCTGGGTTCTTTGTTGTTGTTGTCAGGTGCCATCGAGTCGGAACCGACTCATAGCGACCCCATGCACAGCAGAACGAAACAATGTCCGATCCTGGGCCAGCCTCACTACCACTGCCACACTTGAGTCCATCAATGATGCCACCTGGCCAATCCATCTCGTTAGGGGTCTTCCTCTTTTTCTCTGGGTTCTTTAGAGGGGTAAAATGGATTCCGACCCATAGCGACCCTATATAAGGTTTCCGAGGAGCAGCTGGTGAGCTTGAACCGCTGACCTTGCTAACATGGTTGGGCAGCAGGAATCTGCAGGTGAGGCAGAAGGCCAGCCCTCTGCAGGTTTATGTCCCAAGAAGAAAAGGCCAGGTCGGGGAACAGTGCAGAGTGGATAAAAAGCTTAAGGTATGTCAGAACCTATTTATGCAATAGAGGTCAGCTGCAACCCCACAAGGAAACGTCTTTTTCAAATGATTGGCTGATTGCATGAGATTTCATCACTCATGGATGGTGATTATACGGTTAAGTGCCATTGATTCGGTTCTGGCTCGTGGTGACCCTGTATAGCGTTTTCAAGGAGTGGCTGGTGAGTTTGAACTGCTGGCCTTCCAGTCCAGTGCTTTATCCCACAGCGCCGCACCAGGATTCCTGATTACACAGCGGCTGTGATGGTCTAGCCCCTCCACACCATTCACTGCATTAACGACCACACTTCCACAGCAGTTGTAGTGTTCCTAAGGTGCTGTTGTTAGGGACTGCTGAGTGGGTTCCAACTCTTAGCAACCCCATACACAACAGAACTAGACACTGCGGGATCCTGAGCCATCCTCACAATTGTTGTTGTTATGTTTGAGGCCATTGTTGCCACAACTGTGTCAGTCCATGTTTTGGGGGTCGTCCTCGTTTTCAGTGACCCTCCACTTTGCCAATCATGATGGCCGTCTCCAGGGACTGAGCCCTCATAACAATATGTCCAAAGAACAAAAGATGAAGGGTCGCCATCCTCGCTTTTTAGGAACATCCTGGCTGGCTTCTTCCAAGAAAGATTGATCTTTAGCCAATGAAACTTTCACTATCCTTTGCCAACACCATAATTCAAATGCACCGATTCATCTACAGTCTTCTTTATTCAGTGTCCGAATTTCACATGCAAATGAGGCTATTGAAAATACCATGACTTGGGTCAAGCACACCTTAGCCCTCAAACTGGTCTCTTGGCTCCTGAACACTTTAAGGAGGTCTTTTGCAGCACATTTGCCTAAAGCAATATGTTGTTTGATTTCTTGACTGCTACTTCTATGAGTGGGGATAGTGGATACAAGCAGAATGAAGTCTTTTGACAGCTTCAGTCTTTTCTCCATTAATCATGATGTTGCTTATTGGTCCAGTTGTGAAGATTTTTGCTTTCTTTACATTGGGGTATAATCCCTACTGAAGGCTATAGATTTGTTTGCCTTCATCAGTAAGCATTTTAAGCCATCTTTGCTTCCAACAATCCAGGTTGTATCATCTGCATATCATAGGTTAGTGAGTCTTCCTCCAGTCCTGATGCCATGTTTTTCCTCATATAATCTAGTTTCTTGGATTATTTGCTCAGCATACAGATTGAATAATTGTTATAATCCAAGCAGTCGAATGCCTTCTATAGTCAATGAAGCACAAGTAAGCATACATCTGGCAGTCTCAGCTTTACTAAGGTGCTATGAGTCGATTCTGACTCAGAGCCACCCTAGGTAGGGTTTCTGAAGCTGAAATCTACGGGACTAGAAAGCCTCATCTTTCTCCCTCAGTGTGGTTGGTAGATTCGAAATGCTGACCTTGGGGTTAGCAGCCCACGTCGTAATCCATTATGGCTTTCAGGGCTCTTTTACTACAATAGGCATTTTTGTTTTGTTATTATTTTTTTTAATAAACTATTTCTTAGAACAAATTTTAGATTTATAGATAGTAGAGTGTTCCTGTGCAGTCCTCGTGTGGTGCTGTGGGCTAATACGTCAGACTGCAAAGTCTTTTGAATTGCAAGGTCGGTGGTTCAAGCTCACCAGCTGCTCCTTGGAAACCCTATACAGGGTTGCTGTGGGTCGAGATTGACTGGATGGCACATAACAACAACAACACAGTGTTCCTGTATGCCTCACACCTTGGTCCTCCAGTTACTAACTTCTTCTATTCATGTAACACGTTAGGTACAATATCTGTGCATTATGATTAAGTTCATAGTTTATTTAGAGTTCCATAATTGTTGTCAGATATCCATATTCTGGTTCTAGGGTTCCATTCACGTCACCATATTACATTTCATTGTTATGTCTCTAGACTCGCCTTGGCTAGGACCATTTCTCAGCCTTTCCTTACTTTTGATGACCTTGGACGGCCCCAGGGTTTTGTCGTCTGCAGAATTAAGGTCTGATGATTGGCTTCTGCAAAGATTACAGCCAAGAAAATCGTATGGAACAGTTCTTTCTGTCACGACTCCGTTGGCAAGAGGTTTTGACACTGTTAAGAACTCCTGGACGTGCATATTGTAGAATGTGTCTACTAGAATGTCTGTGGTAATTAGGAGTAAAGAAGCCGTGGTAGCACAGTGGCTAAAGTGCTCATGACCTGAAGGTCATGAACCCACCAGCATTCTGCGTCTCTAAAGACTTACAGCCTTGAAATCCCATTGGGCCGCTCTGCTCTGTCCTGTCAGGTTGATGTGGGTTGGAATTCATTTGCCGGCAGTGGGGTTAGACTGGGGGTATGGGTTTTTGGAGGAAGACCACAGAGGTGGCATTTTTAGCACGTCATGTCAAAGGTACCTGCCATCAGCATGACTTCTGTCACTGTGGATGTTCACCTTGGCTGCAGCACTTGTCCTTTGCTCCTTAGAAGGAAGTCACTGAAAGAGTAGGTGTCGTGTTCCCCTCCACAGAAATGATTCGGAATCCTCTGCCTGGGAGATTTGTTTCTTCTCTCATTTATGAATTCATTCGATCACTGACATTATTGTAGACTCAATAGTACTTTCTTTTGTTGCCCGGTTTTTCCCAAACTTGGCCATTGTTTTGCTTGGCTCCTGTGCTCCTTTGACATAACACCATCAGTATGATTTTGTTTTCTTTAAAATACAACTTTCGTACACTATGAGATGCTCCTTTCACAGCCTTAGAATCAGCCATTTCTCGAAGGAGGAGTGCTTCTGTTAGAAAATGATATTAGGACCAAGATCTGTGTGTTAGGTGTGCTCAGTAACTGGGAGGCCATTCTTTTAGGTGTTCTCAACTGAAAGAGTAAAAAATATGTTTCTA